AGGGTGCAATGCCGAGGATGTTCCTGAGCCCTCCACAGTCAGTGGCCAGTGCGGGGCCAGCTGAACCCCGGCCACTGCTGGGCCGGGCTGGGAGAGCCCTAATGGGGCTCATGTGATGTGAGGGCAGCAGGTTTGCTCTTTCCAGAGCACTTAGCAGGTCGGCTTGTTTTCCCCGGTGCTGAGCCTCGCTTAGCAAAAGGCCCTAAAGACAAATACAGCTAATTATATCCTCAAAGAGTAAGTGCCACTTTTCGTTTTAAAATGGTTTGCTTTCCCGTTCGGTGTCCTTGGTTTAAGTGTTTGTGCCACAGCTTTACATCAATCAAGACCGGAGCAAACTGCAGCAGCCAGCACCAATTAGGCACATCAGGGGCTCACAGCTGATGCCCCCCCCGCGGGCCAGCGCGGCTGTCACTGGTGTGCAGCTCTCGCAGGCAGCATCTTCATTCTCCCTGATTGTTTGTGTACACAAATTAAGCAGGAGCATCTCGCAGCGGTTTGATGGGATGTGCTACATGATGTGGAACAGAACAGGAGGGATCACACGGAGCCTTTCTCCGGGGGGTGACGTGTGCGAGCGCGGGGACAGGTCTGGCGTCTGCTCTGGAGGTGAGTCTGGAGTAAAATGGTCCAACTGAGGGAAGGGGGGGCAGAGGGGAAAGGAAAGAGTTGCAGTTGAAAGATATTCAGAATCTTTCCGGTGTTTTGGAGATGGAAAGAGCAGACCCTGGTTCTGCACGTTCAGTGCAATGTTTTTTGTAAAAAAGCAGCACCAGATACCTCAGCACCAGTCAGGGCAGCACTAAAGGTGTGTGTGAGCAGACCTCACTGCTTCTGAGGGGCTGTGATTTTATAGAGCTGCCCTGGGAAGGGAGAGTGGCCTGTCCATGGTCACCCCCATGTCCTAGTCCCACTGTCATACCCAGCAGAACATCTCTCTTCCCTGGACATGACAACCCACCTCTGAAAAAACAACTCAAGCCACAGCTAATGGACTAACAGGACCAGTGCGATGAAACCTCTCTGGTCCCAGAGATGGGATGGGGAGAGCGAGCGCTGCTGCTGCCTGGGATGCCACTCTGGGGACAGCCATGTCGTGCTGTCCTGCCTGTGTCTGGCTTTTCCCCAGACCCTGTGCCCAGGGGTGTTGCAGCAGCCCCCAGCACACAGCTAACGAGAGGACAGCCCTTCAGCCCCCCAGGCAGGCCCTGGTTGCCCCAGGGCCATGGTCACAGGCATCTTTCCCTCTACCTGCTGCATCTCCTGCCTGCTGGGGGGCTTCAAGCAGCTGCTCTGGTGAGAGCCCCTTCATCAGCTGTTCCCTGACCCAAAGAGAAGTGTCCCAGGACATAAGTGCCCAGAGTTACCTTTAACTCCTCTGTCCCCACAGCTTTGCTGGGGACAACTGAGCACTTCAGGGCAGATCTGAGCCGGGGCAGACCCAGATGGCTTTTTGGATGGATCCTGCTCTCCCCAGGCTTTCCCCTCAAGCTCCAGCTGCCCTCTCCTCCTGCGAGGGGAAGTAGAAGGAAGGGTAAATTTTGCTCCTCTCGTTGGGCATGTGCCTGCAGGATGTTTGCAGGGCCAGCTCTAGCCAACCTTTGTGTGCACAGTTCTGTTTATCACACGCTCTGTCTGCTCTCACCTGCAGTTCCCCAGGCTCAGCTTCCCACGCTGAGCTATGTGGTTGGTGTTCAGTGGCTGCGACTGGTGTTTGGGAAAAAAAGCCTTTCACCTGTTGCCACTTGTTGAAAGAAAATGAGCTGCAGGTGTTTAGTTCTTCACCACATCACACTGTACAGCAACGCACAGATGTACCACGCCAGCTCTCGCCCTCAGCAGGGCTTTAGCACCCCTGTGTGACCCAGCTGCCCTGGGAGTACCTGCAGCTGCATTTTTCTGATAAATCAGAGGCTGAACACAGGTTAACACACACATCTCAGGCCATGGGACATAGGACCTGCCTGTTTTTAACCTCACTCGGCACATTTGCAGTGGGGTCACATCCTGCCCTACCCTGTTGCAAGAGGAGCACTGTGTGAGCCCCAGCATGGGCAGAAAACAGGGTCTGGCTCACAGTGCCTCGCAGGACAGCCCTGTGCGACAGGCACTGGGGGCTCTTACCATACTGCTTTATTCACATTTTATTATTACAGGTATGCTACAACCTTTCTGCAGCAAAACATGGTGTCTTGTAGGGTGGCAGGCTCCTGCCTGCTCTCCCTTGCCCTTCATCCTGCACAGAGCCATGGGGAGAAGGTATCTGAGGAGGGTCTTGTCCTGCCAGAATCCCTTCATGGCCAAAGCTTGCTAACCCCAGTGTTCAAGGGAGGCATATGTTTGTAACCCCAGCTCAGCAGTCCCATGCAACAGAATTTCATGAGAGCGGCCAAAAAACCCCACCCCAAAACCAAACCCACAATGCCCCAGTGAGGGGTTTTGCGGGTGAGGGGCAGAAGGGCTGGGGAGCGCTGCCCTCCATCCCTGCAGCATCCCTGCCCACTGCCCCCGGGCCCCTTCCCGGTGTGGCTGGGGGGAGCGGGGCTGCTGACAGCCTGGGGGGGGTGACCCTGCCTGCAGGTAGAGCTGGGAGCCCTCGGTAAGGGGCTGTACAAGGCAGCCAGGTGTTGGGTGTGTGCCATGTGCTGCTGGGGCAGCCCAATGGCTCCACTCATTGCTGGAGCCCAGGACTGCAGGGGCACCCGCAGGTGGGTGCACCAGGAGGGTCCCCGCAGCTCCAGCCTCTCAATTTCTGCAGCTTCAGCATCTCAATCCCTGCCTCTGTTGCAGCTCCAGCATCTCTGCCCCAGCGGCTGCTGCACCCCGCAGGTCTTGGGCTGGGGCTGGCTGGGAGTGGGGTCCTGGAGCACCCGGGGGTTATTGTTCTGCCCGGGGAGGCCAGTGGTGGGCAGGGGAGGCCTCTCCCCACGGCTGCTCAGGACACCCCAGGCATAAGGAGCTGCTTCCAGTCTGTACGGTGGATCAAAACAATCAGGGCACGCTGTGCAGGAGGGGGCTGGCAGGCAGCCTTGCTCATCCCTGCTTCCACTTTACACTGCAAAGACGTTTTCTTCTGCTTTTAGCTTAATGCTGTAAACCAAAAAGTCTTGTGATCATAATTCTAGCCTAAACCTGCTCCAAAGCGTAATTAATAAAACCCTCTCTGCAGGTTATGAAACTCCTGCAGGGTTGGCTAATTAGTGTGAGGTTGGGTCATCAAGGCGGGACCCACTGTCCCGGCCGGGAGGTGCCTCACCACAGCCAGGCCACAGAATCACAGAGTCATCTGGGTTAGAAAAGCCCTTGAAGCTCCTCCAACCCAACCATGACCCTCACTCTGACCGTTCCTAACTCCACCAGATCCCTCAGCGCTGGCTCAGCCCGACTCTTCAACCCCTCCAGGGATGGGGACTCCCCCCCTGCCCTGGGCAGCCCATTCCAACACCCAACAGCCCCTTCTGCACAGAAATCCTTCCTCAGAGCCAGCCTGACCCTGCCCTGGGCAGCTTGAGGCCATTCCCTCTGTGCCCAGCGTGGGCAGCATTGGCAGGGACAGCCCCATCCCCACCGAGCCACAGCAGGGTGGCCCCGGTGATGGGCACAGCCACGGTCAGAATCACCCGAGGCTGCACCCACCATGCCACGGGCAGGGTGCCACCGCACTGGCTCAGCTACCAAAAGGTAACTTTCTGTGTATTTTGTGCCCTCCAGGCAGGAGCCCCGTTTTCCCCAGGAGGGGGCTGTGCCCCGAGCTGCCCTGCGTGTCCCCGAGGTGCTGGGCAAGGGACAGCCACACGCCATGGCAGAGCGTGGTGGTGGCAGGACAAGGTACGTGACTGCGAGCCGGCGAGCGGTGAGAGCCACCCGACCCACCTGCCCACCCTCCTGCTGCCTGCCCCCGCCCTCAGCCTGCGCCCAGCTCCAGCAGGAGGATTTTTCCTGCTGGTGGCAGCAGGTGCCCCCGCCAGGGATGCCACGGGGAGGCTGGACTCTCCTGCCCGCCTCGGGAAGGGGCTGGCATCTGGGTGTGATCCTGCCTGCCCGTGGGGCTGGGCGGGGGCACACCATGCTGTACGGCTTCTGGACCCCAAACTACCCGGCTCCCTTGGGTCTGGACCAGAGTGGATGACTCTTCAATCCACCACGCTTTTGTGTCTTTATTTATTGTGTTTGAGTGGCTGCTGGGCAGGTTAAATGCTCATTACAGCAAGGATGGGCAGTGGGAGGGGAGAGTAAATCAGTGCAGCGCATGCTAAAGCACAGTAAATACTGCCCTTCCGTGCTCCTCCCACTCCTTTTATTATCTCCTTTCAATGTGCTTATGGTTTTTATTTCAGTGGATCAGCTGTCTTTTTAAATGCTGTTGTTCTTTTCTGTACTTGGACGTGATAAGAGCTGTTTTAATTTTAGTTACTCATGCTTGGTAAAAACTTTAGTGGTTAAATTGTCAGGAAAATCATAACACCAAATGTCCTGACTCTGCCAGGGGAAGCTGGAGAGCTGGGGAGGCTCTTTCAGTGCCAGAATGGAGAATGGAGGAGGGAAAGCAAACACAGTGATAAGGGCATAAAACACTGAGATCAGGCACTGCAGCATTTGAAGTACAGGAGAAAGAAACCCAGATGTCTTCCAGCTCCGCTTTGCAACAACGTGTTTATTGAGTATGCTTAAAAAAACAAAACAAAACAAAAACAAAAAGAGAAAGAGACCAAAGAGATGCATAGACTTCCCTATTGCATGCTCTACGCCAAGGTACAAAACCAAACCTACTTTGGACACTGGGTGTGTTGTAACTGCAGCCGCGCCAGGAGGTTGTACGTGCAAGTGCTTGGGGCGAGGTGACACGGGGCCTGACCAAGAGCCGGGAGAGCGGCACCAGCGGGTGTGATGCAGCTGCACGGATGCCCACATCTGCCTTCTCATGCGTGCAGCCACAGACCCGTTGCTTGTCCGCCCTTCCTAGTACACGAGGAGCTGCCTGCCAGCCTGCCTGCCTGCCCGCTGACCGTGGCACAGGCAGTGGGCTGGCGACAGACGGCAGTTTCCCAGGTACACCTCCTGCCTTTCTGGGAACTCGCCCTCTTCCCCGCACCCTTCCAGCAACCAGTATCCCTTCCAAGTCCCTCCTCCTTGTCATCTCCAACTCTCACCGGTCCCGGCAGGCTGGGTGGGGGAGAGGAAGGAAGGGGTGGGAGGTGGCAGGGTTGGTTTTGGCCAAGGCAGTGCCTCTCCCCACCCAGCCCACCTGAGTTTCCAGCCGGTGCCGCTGCTGCCGACACCTCCCTCCTGGCCGCGGGCGGCCGGCTCAGCACACGGAGCAGCTGTTGGTCTTGTTCATGGGAGGCCTCAGCGCCTGCTCCTTGGGCAACGTCTCCCTCCTCTTGCAGAGCGCTGGGCTGAGCCGGCTGGGCAGGTTGGCTTGCTGCAGCAGCTGCCTGAAGACCTCCAGGACATTCTCGTTGTCCTTGGCTGATGTCTCCACAAAGCGGCTGTTCCAGTCCAGCTCCACCAGTGACAGAGCATCCTCCACTGGCACCTGCCGCTCGCCGCCGCTCTCTGCCTTGTTGCCGACCACCACGATGGGAGGGAACTTGTCTTCCTTCACCTCCAGGATCTCCTCCCGCAAGCTCTTGATGCTCTCAAAGGACTCGGCGTCATCTACAGCATAGACCAGGGCGAAGGCATCGCTGTTCTGGATTGAGAGTTTCCTCATGGCCGGGAAGGAGTAGCTGCCACTGGTGTCCAAGATTTCCACCTTGACCCTGGCCCCGCTCACCTCGTACTCCTTGCTGTGTAGCTCCTCCACTGTGCGCCGGTGCTTGGGCTCGAAGGTGTCCATCAGGAAGCGGTGGATGAGGGCCGTTTTTCCCACGCCGGCAGCACCCAAGAAGACCAACCGCACGTGGTTCTTCTCCTTCACCACCAGGGACATGGCTGGGCGCAGAGGGGACAGGATGCTCCGCAGCTGGCGCTCACCCCACGGGTGTCCCTGGGTGGCCACAGCCCCGGCGTCCGTCCGTCCGTCTGTCCTCCCCTGCACTGACTCAGTGCAGCCAGGGTAGTTTGGTGCCACCTCCCTGCAAACTTCTCCCGGCTGTTCTGCCGCGGACACTACAGTCCCCCGGTCCAGCTCATCTTTTATTCTGGTTGCTCACTGCCATGTGTCACCAGGCTGACCAATCTCCGTGGGTTGAGGGTGCTGAAGAAGGGAGGGGGGGAGAGTGGGGTGCTCCGGGCCAATCCGCGGAGCTCAGTCCTGGAAAGCCACTCCAGCCCTGGAGAGCAGCGCGCTGCGTTGCACATTGCGCTTGCATTGCCCGCCGCTGCCGGTAGCACCACAGAGCCGGCAGCATCGCAGCCGTCACGCTGCGCCAGCTCTCCTGCCCTTTTCTCCTCCCTGGAGATTAATGTGTGTTTCTTGGCGTGGGTGTGCTGGTGGCAGGGCAGCTCGGTGGGGGTCCCTCACCTGTTGGGTGGCTCATGGCCGGACACGGCAGGGGCTGGCGGCTGTCACCTGCAGCCTTTCTTGCGCTTATCTGGGGCTGGGGACTTGTTTGCAGACAGGGCTGCTGCAAACATGCCCAACATGAGCCTATGAAATATTTGACCTGAGGGGAAAAAATAAGACGTCCTTGAAATTCATGTGTCATAACCTCCACGGTCAGCTGGCAGTTATTCTGTGATTTGATGAAATATTTAACCTGAGGGGAGAATAAAATCTCCCTGAAAATGATGCAGCATGATCTCCATGAGCAGATGCTGAGCAGTTGTGGGTAGGGATGCTGGCCATGACCCAGCCTCAGCAAAACTGTGACCCAGAACATTTGGGTGATTTACTGGGCGGAGAGGCGGCGCGTGTGCCAGAGCCCGTCTCTGCGTGGATGGGCATCACCTCCGGGAGCGGGTTTGCTCGTAGATGTGCAGGTTGCCCCATGTGGGTTGGTTCCTCAGCGCTCACTTTCCCTATTTCATGCCAGAGTTGTTTCAGAAGCTGATTTATGCACAAGGGGAACTTACTCAAAATAAGTTTTTATCCTAAATTTGTGCATGTGTGGTTTTTTTCTAACTGTACAAGTTTTTGTAGTTTTAATGCAGTTGGTTTTCTTTCCATAGCAAAGTACCAGTTTCAGTGTTGAGTTCTGGCTGAATTTATTCTGTTGATTTCAACAGCCCTTTTCACAAAAATTATTCCTGCCTCTTAATTCCCCAATTACTGTTACATTTTAGCCATGTTAAGAGCTTTACTATCTGATCTTATTAGAAGGGCCAAGAGATTGCACTGGGGTGAGCAGAGTCCTGTCCTCAGCTCCGCCTGCCCTGGAGAAGCAGGAGGTTGGGTCCCTAGCAGGACTGGCAGTGGGCCTGGTGTCCGAAAGTACCCAGTACCCCATGGCACCCTGCGGGGTTTTGCATCAGCCAGTGATGCACCTTCACTCGCACACGTGAAGCGCTCTCTGGAGAGACGGGCTGTGCCATGAGGAGAGCCCCAAGGCAGTGCCAGGGACTGAGCCGCAGGAGTTAGAAGGAGCTGAGGATGCAGATGTGATGGCCTGGCTGTAAGACCTCAGCGGGCCAAAAGCCAGGAGAAGGGGTGGGTGAGCAGAGGATGCCGGGTTTAGGCACATGAACGAAGTGGCCGATCATGTTTTGGTGCCTGACGTCACCATCAGTGGAAACAGCGAACGAAAGACGATGAGGAAGCAGAGTGCGACAAGTAATCTCACTCCAGTTTTGGAAGCTGTTTAAAGGCAAAACTGATTCTTTTTTTTAATTAGAAAAGAATTTGGTTAATGCTCCAGCACCGGGTCACATCACTACTGCTGTCTGCAATTTGAGTCATTTCTGCAAAGAGTAGATGTGTCCTGCGTGGTCTGGCCAGGACGAAGAGCCAGCCCAAGCTGTGTTAGACAAAGAAATGTGTTGCAGATAAGAAGCTCCCCTGTCTTGGAGCTGCAGTTGCACACAGCGTGGCTGTACATCCCCAATGATTTTTCACATCAGTTGTCTCCCCTCAGTTTTCACATCTGTGCTGCTATGGTTACCAAGAGCCTGGAAGGTTTTAAATCTCCCTCAGAGCAGTGGAGGATTTCAGGGGTAATCTTGTTAAGAGATGAGCAATGAATATTTCCAAAGGCCTTTTGCATGAATATCTCGTTCCGTATTAGCTTATGGCCACTGACAACAGCGAAAGCAAAATGCGGGGGGACTGTGTGCAAGGAAGGGAAGAAACCAGAGAAGGATGAATGCAGTGACTTCTTTTCCACTGCAGTCTTTTGTGCCCAGAATGATGCACCTAAATACAGTATATTTTTCAAGGAGGGCTCGGCCAGCCAGCTTGAGTGAGGCATTAAAAAAAAAAAAAAAATAAAAAATCAGCCTGTATTTCCCCTAGGAAAAGACTGACAGGATCTTGATGGGCACTTGGGGATGGGACCCCTCATGGGTGAGTCCTACAGAAAAGCCTCACATGCCACGAGCCATGTGTGGGGCTGCAGGGACCCACCACGGTGGCAGGCAGAGCCCAGATGGCTCTTGGCTTCAGCAGGGCCGTGGGAGCAGCTGGGATCCAGCCCCCGGGGATTTAGTAACTCGGGTGGAGCGCTGGAGCCTGCACCGAGGGCACGTGCTGTGCCCGTGGGCACTGGGGCGCGGTGGGGGCAAAGCCTCTGCCAACACTGAGCCAGGAGAGGGGACCGTGACGCCCCAGGGAGGGAGCAGGTGGGGAGAACAGCCCCGAGGTGCTGGCAGGGAGGAGTGAAGGCAGCGGGAGGAAGGATGAAGGCACAACAGCAGTGATGGGCAGGAGCTGGGGTGGGGCACAAACCAGCTGGGGGGTGGGTTGGGGGCAAGTGGAGCCCCACACCCAGCAGTCACTGGCAGGTCTAGAGTGCTTGGAGATGGGTGACAAGAGAGTTCTTGGTCATCCTTACCCTAAAGCCAACCCTGTGCAGGGCCAGCAGTGGTGGAGCAGTGGGATACCCCAGGGAGAAGTGATGGACTGTCCCCAAGGTCCCAACTGGGGCACAGGCAGAGCAGCAAGCTGAGCGTGAGACACCAGCCAGCCCCTGCCTTCAGCAGTCAGGAAAGGGCAGTTTGGGGCAAAACACTGGAAAATGGCCTGTATGCTCTTGCTTCCTACCATGTGCTGGCCAGGGAGAGCTGGGGAGCAGCAGACACAGGGACCAGGGGAGGTACAGGGAGGGGACAGAGGAGGGAGCTGGACCCCTGCCCATGGAAAAAGCCAACAGCACTTGGTACAGGAGAAACTCAGGGCTCTGTGCAAGTCACACGGTCCCCTCCCATTGCTGTTCACAGCCCAGGCTGTGGGATGCTGCGGTGCCTCTTCTGTTCCTGAACCAGCCCGCGCCCAGGAGGGACAGAGCTCCCCTGCTGCAGGGCGGTGAGCTGAGATCTCCCAAACAAAGGTCCGAATCTTCCGCCAAGTTTTGCAGCATCTTTCACAAACATTCAGTTTTATTTCACCAACAAGCCTTATGTTTGGTGCCTTAAAGTGTCTGTGTGAGGAGAAACCCAGAAGAGCACACGAACCTCTCCCACCGGCCGAGTGCTCCCCGGCTGCAGCGCTGAGATGCGCACCAGGAAGACAATCTGCAAACTTCAGGAGCAGCCCGCGCTGCGTCTGGATGTGTTTTCGGGGAGCTCATATCTCAGTGATCAGCTGTCACGGTTCAGAGGGGATGGTGACTGCTGAGGATGCCAGGAGCAATGTTCTGTGGCCGGGCGCTGGAGCAGCTGGTTCTGGGCAATGCTCCAGTCCCGGACACGGTGCCCCAGTGCCCTGCGCTGCCCAGCGAGTGCATCAGCACGGGGTGGTCACGGCCAGGGTGCAGTGCTTTCCTCATCACTGAGAGATGGGCCTTGCCCACTGCTCGCAGGCAGTGAAGCATCGTTACAAATGGGGTGGCAAATAGTTGGCAGCACTGTGATACATTTCCATGATTCTGAGCCAGCTTCTGGAAGCTCATGGAGCTGATACACAGCCAACTCCTGCGAAGGGGTGCCTGGTGCCTCAGCCTTCCTGCCCCGTAACAGGACACAGAGGCAGCAAATGCAGCCTGTGCCTGTAGGATGCTTGTGTCCCTGCCTCCTGTTTCTGCCCGTGGTTAAATTCATGGTGTATGTGAGAGCAGCTGCCTTTTCAGGAGGGCTTTCTGGCATTCCAGCTGAGAAGGTGAGAAGGAAGCGGTCAGAAATGAAAAACCCCAGTGAGACAGTCACCACTATGTCCTCAGCGGCTGCCCATCACCGCAGGCAGTGGCCAGGCAACAGCCTCGGGGGGTGAAGCATCGCTTCTCCCACCCAGAATGAGCCCTGGATGGGAGACCAGGCAAAAACGGGAGAGGGGAGGAGATGCCTGGCACTGAGCTGCCTGTATCAGAGGTCGGCGAGGCAGGTCCTCACCCCGGCATGGGGACACCGAGCCACACAGGAGCGGGTTAAACCTGCCTCTCCCGGAGATTAAATCCAAATGGCCTTTGATTTAGCGGCAGGTGAGAGGAGAAATCTGAACCGCTATAGCTTCCGCCCCCACTTTAAAGGGGAGCCGCAGCCCTCCCTGATGCATAGATGGATCAGCCATACGCGGAGCTCCGTGCCGCCTGTCAGGAACAGCGTGTCGCCGGATGGATCCTGTTCCCAGCGCCGGCGGGGCTGCCACAGGGGACCTGCCACCCCCAGCACGGAGACCTTCCAGCTCAGCCCCGCTTCAGGGGGGCACATGGGGGTGACCAGCCCCCGAGAGGGTCACACCAAGCCCAGCTCCTGCCCCACTGCCTCCCTGCTGCCTGGTGACCCCATGCCAGGTGGGGTTAATGGCTTAATTAAAGGCTGTAATTGCAAGAGGTGAGGGCTGAGGTTTGCCCATAGCCCCAGACCAGGCAGGGCAGGAGGAGGAGAGGAGAGAGGGGCTGGATTTGGGGTTGTCTGACAGAGGAGGGACTGGAGGAGATCCCTGCTGGCATTGCCACCTGCTTTAGTGGGGGGTGAGGGCATCCTCATGGTGTGTCCTGCCCGAGGGGACGTACCGTCCCCCGGGGATGGGGCTGCTTCAACCTGCAGCTGGGCTTGTGGAAACCAATGTGGCTTGTGCAGCTCTCGG